AAGCAAGGGGTCCCTGATGTCTTCACGACCACCCGGTCATTTAGTGGCAAGGCCAGCCAGGGCCTACCCCATGGGGGAAGAGCTGGGGGTGGGGAGAAGCCGCCATCCTGAAGACAGATTTAGGAGCTGACCTGGCAGACCTCCGTTAATCTGGTTCGTCTGTGACTATTTTCAGCTTTAGCTTTTGTCTGACAGGTGCTTCACACCTCATCTTCCTTGCTTTGCCTGCTCTGGAATCGAGAGAGCTGGCATCAGCCTTCTCCTAAATGGCACTTGTACTGATAATCAGCCCTGCCTCCGTCTCTCCTGGGAGAGCATCAGGCCGTGTGGCTGCGTTTCAGCCGAGATAGAAGGAGTCGGCTGATTGTTCTAGACGGCGAGAGTTGCTGAGGAGCCGGTCTCTCCCTCCTTCCACCCCACAGGAGAACTCTGAAGGACCGAGAGTGACAGTCGATGTGCTCTCCCCTTGGGTTCACGTGCGGTGTCTGGAGGCTTCATGAACCCGTCAGCCTTCTGAGAACACCTCCAATCCTTGTGCCTCATCCCACCTGTCCATCAGCTCCCCTCACCCCCTTCCAAACCCTCCCACACATGTCATCACCCCACCTGGACTTGTCTGAGAAGGAAGAGGCCGAGCCCCCTTGGTAAAATGGCGAGTGGGACTGGGCGGCCTTGGAGGGCCCTCTGCCTCCTGGAGCGATAATTCTGCGACCCAGGCGGAGGGGGCCAGCCGCCCGTGGCCTGCCCCCGTCTGCTGGAAAGAAGAGGACGTGGGGGCTGGTTTCTGTGGCCCCCTTGTCCTCCACAGCATGACATGCCTCGGAGAGCATGGCGCACACGGAGACCCGTTGGTTTAAAGTTTGTATTATGTGACCGAGCAACCCGCAAGCACTTAGCGCAGGGCCTGGCCCATAGTAGGCACTTAAACAGTGCTTAGTGAGCGCCTGCTAAGATGTTATAATGGTGATGGGTTTGTCTGAGCTTCCTGGTGAGGCTGATGAAATGACTGAGAAAACAAAGGTTCGATCTTCTGGACGTATTTATTATGCAATGGATGGCAATTGCCCAGCAAACCAGGCCCAGACCTCCTCAGCCTAGGCCCCGACCCCCATTGCAGGGGGAGACACGCTTGTATAATTAAATCAAGTGAGGCCAATTAATTAAAAGTGAACAGTACAACATTAGGTAATCTTAATTTCTAACTAGGGGAGAGATTATGGACTTTCCGAGTTTAGAGGGGAAGGGTGAACAGGTACAATTCCCAGAGTTCAGAAAAAGAGGTGCCCCCCCCAAGTGTCTGTGAACCATTAAAGGCACATGGGAACAGTAACTGATTGAGCCGTAAGGGGCCAGTTTCAGATAAGCCTCTGGGTTGCTTGCGATGTATAATTATGAGAAAACTCCATGCATTGGTCTTTGGCTATGACAGGGTTTGTTGTGACATAGCCAGGGTCCTTAGTTAAGGATCTTGAAGCAGCAGGGAGAGGTGGTCCAGCTTCCCAGCCACACAGGGCTAGGTTCAAACAGTACAATAAGGTTTTTTCCCAGGTCCCACAATTGAATAAAGTACAAGACAGAAATTGGACTAGACCCATAATTGAATAGAAGGGGAACTGAGCTAGGTCCAGAATTGAGTCACAAGATGGAGACAGTGTGATTCTCCGACTTCCCACAATTAATCACTTGCTTCCTAATCCCTTCAATATTTCCCCCATTTGATTTCTGGGGGAGTGGGCAGCCCATTCCCCCCATGGCTCTCTTATCTGTAAGCCAAAATCTATAGGGTTTTTCATATATTCATAATCAGAATCACCTAATCAGGTTTCAGAGCAAACTACTGAGAGAGGGCTCACAATGGATTGATTTTGAGAAGGGAGATTTACACCTCCCAAGGCAACCAAGAGAACATTAGCATGAAAACCGTGGGAGAAGGTGGATTTCACCTGTGGCTTCTCTGATGACTTGCTCTGTGATCTTGGGCCACTGAATCCCCCTGCCCCCACGTGCCAGTTTGTGAAATGGGGGAAACCCAGCCCCATCTTCAGTGCTGCTCTATTGTTGGCCTGAAGGAGGTGGCCATAGGGAGCTGGGACCTTGAAAGAAAACTTAAGAGATTGTAGGTTATCTGAACTAAATGGTGCCTGGTCGTCCTGGCTGCGGGCTGCGCCTGGTGACACATCGTAGGAGGCAGAGTTAACCACAGGAAGAACCAGGTTGTTAAAGGGTGTGTGTGGAGTGGGGCTGGGGTTTGCAGTCTGAGGATCCCAGAATGCTTTGGCTATGCCTACTCTGGCTTGACCACACCCTGTGAATACGGTAGCACACGTTAGTTAGTGTCCAGACCATTGAGATGCTCTCTCCTCCCCTCTGTCCTCTCTCTTCCCCCCTTCTCTCTCTCTTTCTCCCTCCCTCTCTTTCTTTCTCCTCTCTCTCTTCTCTGTCTCCTCTCTGTCTCTCTTCCTTCTGTATCTCTCTCTCTCCCTCTCCTCTCTTCCTTCTTTCTCAGCCCTTCTCTCTCTCTTTCTTTTTCCCTCTCTTTGTGTCTCTGTGTCTGTCTCTCCTTCTCTCCTCGTCTCTCTGCTTCTCTTTCCCTGTCTCTTGTCTCTCTTCCCCTGTCTGTCTGTCTCTCCCTGTCTCTCGCGGTTTCTGTCTTTTTCTGGCTTTGTTTCTGTCTCTCTGTCCCTCCCTGTGTCCCTTTGTCTCAGTTCCTCTGTTGGATGAAGGAACGTTAGGGTCAGGTAAGGGAATGGGATCCTTGTTCTGTAGCCTGTGAAGACGGAGAGTCAGCCAAGGGAAGTGTTTGGCCCAAGGCAGTGGGTACAAAAAGTAGAGTACTGGCAGGTCCCTTGCCTGATTGCCCTTGAGCGCTCGGGCCATGGCCAGGGTCTGAATCTGCAGGAGCTGGAAGGGCAAGGACACAGCGAGCAGGACCTCCGGGCAGCCCCTCCCTCTCAGGCCACTGCCTCTGCACCTGTTGGGATAGGTTTCCGGAACGAATGAGGGAGAGCAGGACAAAGGGCTCGGCCGGGGGGAGCTCCAGTCAGAACATCGTCAGGGCCCACGGCTGGCTTTCTTGGTTCACCTCATCACCCAGCGCATCTTTGCTCCTGGACAGTCTTTAGAATAGTAATAATCATAGTGATAGCTAATATCTGTGAAGCACTTTAAGACTTACAAGGCGCTTTGCACGTATTATTTCACTCAATCTTCACAGCAACCTTAGGTGGTGTTATTTTCCCTATTCTACAGGTGAGAAACTGAGGCTGCAGAGAGCTTAAACAACTTGTCTTACACTTAGCCGGTGCCTAGTGTTTGAAGTCACTCTGCTGATGCTTGACCCATAGAGAAAAAGGAAGATCTTTTTGTTTTGAATCCCTGACATCCTTGGATTGTTTCAACACAGAAGGGTCATTTTTGGAGCCTGAAAGGAAGTGGGTTTCAGTGAAGGCGCCCAAGGGTGAGAAGTGAGGCAGCCTTGTTTTGTCAGATTAAGAAAGAAAAAAAGGCATTTCATTCTGATAATGAAAATATTTTCCTTCTGGATTTGCTGCCGCTGCCAATTTTCTTTCCCAGCTGGGGAACAGAAAAGATGCTTATCGAAATAAGAACCGAGAGCACCTCCATCCCCCATTTCTTTTCAGTCAGTGGTGCTAAAGAAGGGCTTAGCTCATGTTGTGGATTACAAATTCCTAGCAGGTTACTGAAGGCTGTGGCTCTCACTCAGGGTTGGAAAGGATCCCAGAGCCTACCTCGTGGGACCTGCAGCAATCCTCTCTGGAGTCTCCCTGAGGAGTGGCCATCGGGCTTTTGTTTAAAGCTCAGCCTTCCACTCCTGGACGGTTCATTGTTAGGAATATTTCAGGTATCCTAGAACATGGAAGGCAGGAGAGCCCTGCATGTGGGTCCTGGCCAAGTGACCACAGGCAGGTCACCTAACTGCCCTGAGCCCCAAGTAGAAACAGTCTGTTCTGTGGAGAAAACCTGTGATTGCGTAATTATAAGCATCAAATGAGATGACATATGGCCAGTGCTTTGAAAAGCTTAGCGCGCTGTGAAATGTCAGTCATCCTCATCCCCCAATATTTGAGCTGGGAGGAGCCGTTTAAATGTCGAAGCCCAGCGTGGGACATCAGAACAGGAATCCCCTTCCCTCCTGTGCCTGATGAGTCGTCTTCCAGCTTCCCTGAAAACCTTCCACAAAGAGGAGCCCGCTGCCACTGTTACTGCTACTGTCGCTGCCACCACCACTGTCACCATCTGTGCCATGAGAGGGTCCTTCACAGGGACGCAGCCTCTTTTACTTTTTGCTTGCTTGACTTGTCACGTAGTTTTTCCTCCCATCAAGGTGGAGTTTGCCTCTTCACCTCCCACCACCCTAGTGCGGCTGCCTGGGGCCCAGTGAAGCGGGCATCTCGCCTGTCCCCACAGCAGCCCTGCAGATACTTGCAGGCGGCTTGCCCTCTGTCGTCCTCTCAGCTCGTAAGGACCTATGGCTCTGGGTCTGGAGGGACACTCAGATCATCCATCACCTGCCTTCCTGCCCCTTACCCCCTCCCTGTCCTGAGAGATTTCTGCCTTGTGGCCCTCCCTCTGGTCACTTCCTACCAGGACCTCCAGCCGGTCATGTGCGCCCTTTCAGACCCGACCCTCTGGACTTCCTTCTCTGTCCTGGGAAGAGTGTATTGGGAAGCGACAGCAGTCACTGGAGAGCAGTGCCCACAATGGTTCTTTTTAAATATACATTTTAAACGATCTCTTGTTACATCACCTAACTTTTCCCTTGCCCCTCCCCTCCCCAGTCCCAAGCATTGCAGCAAAGATTAAGCTCCTACTGTGTGCTGGATATTGGGCGTACAAGCACAAAGAATAAAACAATCTCCGTTCCCAGGGAGCTTCCATTCTAATAAAGGAGACGAGAACCGTGCACTTCTACACATAAATAGAAAAAGACCAATCTGTGCCCAGCGCTAAGTACACGCTAGCTGGCCGTTGGGGAGATCAGGAAGGCTTTGTGTGGTGACGGCATCTTAAAGGACAAGAGAGGAAGGGAGGGAGTGTGCGCCAGGCATGGGGACGGTCCGTGCAAAGGCGTGGAGATGGGAGAGCGAGGGACAGAGGGAAGGTGCTCTTGGCTTCATTGCAGGGTCGGGTTCAGTGAGGCTGGGAAGGTAGGTAGGAGCCAAACCCAAGAGGGGATTGACAGTTTGTGCTAATAGGAAGCCCTGGGCATGAGTTGGGTGAGGGAGTCGCATGGCCAGATTGGTATTTCAGGAAGTGTGATGTGGTTAGAAATGCAGTTCCCTTCATACTTTGGCTGGTGGGTGAATTCTTGATTTGTGCATAGAAAATGGGATTGTTCGAATAGCTGAGCAGATTTCCCATGGCACTTGGTCCCAGGGAGAAAGTGACAGTCATCCAGAACCTCCAGGAGGTTCCTTACACCGATGAGGAAGGTTGTTGTTTGTGGGAAGCAGGGGGAGAAGCCAAGGGCTGAGGGCTGGGGTTCCCAAGCCAGGCTTCCCTTCCTGCTTCTCCCACTGCTCGCTAGCTATCTGCCCTGCCCCACGTCCCTTCCGTCCTCTCTGATCTTCCGTGAGGGCGGCTCCGAACGTTGCACTGCCCAGATGGTGGAAGTCCTGGCTCCTTGTTCAGCGGCCCAGCCCTGCCCCACACTTGGCCCCAAGCTGCCTCTCCTTTGCAGCCTTGAGACCCCCTGCTCCCCTTTAGCAAGCCCTCGGGCTGCTTCTCCTGCGCAGCCGCTCCCCCCCCCCCCCCGTGCCTGCATGCCCCCTTCCTCCTTTCTACACCTTAGAACCCCTCATTTCCTTGAGGACGTATCCAGCATCGCCTTCTCTGTACCCAGCAGTGGTGGTTCATTCTCCCTTTGGCGCCTGTGGAGCTGCCGTTTGCACATTGCAATGCTTTCTGGTAAATTTGTGAGGCCGTGGCCAGTAATAGCCCATTCCTCCTGGTGGTGTCCGGGGCCCCTCAGGCAGGTCATGGCTGGGGAGCTGGGTGCCAGGCCCTCTGCAATAGGGACTTTTGCCCCATCAGCTCATAAGGCACCAGATACTGAGGGGTGAATCATCAGTAAGCCGGCTCATTGTTTTCCGTGGCCTGTGCTTCCTGGGCGACTTGCCGGGTCCCCAGACAGTTGGCAGGGCTTTGTTCCTCTGCCGCTGAGGCTGCTGTGTTTCCTGGGGCGGTTGTTTCTGTCAGGCTGTCTTTGTCTTTCTGCCCCCTGCCTTCCTGAGTATCTCACCAGGCAGAGCTCTGCTCCTGATCCGTTTAGGTCCCAGGGCCTCAGGCTTGGCTTTCAAAGGGTGGCGGTCCTTCCTCTTTCTTTTTCTCCCTGGCCGTCTGCAGTGGCATTGCCCTGAGATTTGATATTCTTCAAAGCAAGGTGACCTAAGAGCACATGCAGCCCAGAAGGGCCGTCTCTGGGCCAAGGGACCTTTTTTCATTGCCCCAGTGCTCCCCGGTACCAGCGCAGCTACATTTCAGACTTGACAACAGTCTTGTTTCTGTGGCCGTCGGTGAGGCCCGCTGTTGGGAAGAATACCTGGGGGGAACCTGATGGTTTGTGGCTAAATTTAACAGGACGGCTTGCCCGAGGCTCCAGGACTGAGGCCGGGAAATGCCTCTAGAGGGACGTGCAGAGTATTTCTGGCCAGCCGAGGTCCCGGGCCGTGAGGGCACTGTAGAAATCTGGGACCTGGGGGAAACGTTTCTGCTCCTCCTGCTTGTCCCCCCACCTGCTGCCTTCTCCCTTTTCTTCCCCTGGGATTCCAGTGGCCGGGGGTGACCCATGATGTCATGGAAGGAGCACCGGGTTTGGATGGCGGCTCTGCTCTGAATTACTGGTGTGACCCGGGGCTAATTACTGTGTGCTTCAGCTTCCCTCTCTGTAAAGTTCTGCTCCTGTGTGTGCCTGGCAGAGCCTCCAGGCCTCCATCGACTCGGACCCCTTTAGAGCTTCCCAGCAAGGCCGCGAGCTCCTGGGGAGCCCTCCTGTTGTCCCGTCTGTGGATGCGCTCGTCACAGAGTGCTCTCCCTCCACTGACCCTCTGCCCTTTCTCTCCTTCTTCTTCTGCAGTTGTTCCCCGAGGAAGATGGAAGACCTGAGGGACTGGACGGTGGAGGAACTAGAGAAGTTGCAGGATGACCCCGAGGAGATTGACCGTCTGGTCATGGAGTCACCCGAGGTAAAACACATCACCAACATCTGTGTGGAGCTTTCTAGGTTTGCTAACCGTGGGAGGGAGGCACTGTGATTATCTCCAGCTTACAGATGGGGAAACTGAGGCAGGCAGTGGCGAAGTGATGTGCCCAGGGTCACACGGCTGTCTGAAGTAGAGTCTGACCTCAGGTCTTCTCGACCCTGAGTCCCAGAGCAAAGGTGACTGTAATAACAGCAGCAGCAGCAGTAACAGTAACTGGCATTTCTGTAGTGTGCTTGACATCTGTCCTCACATTGCGTCCTCTCCCCGGCCTTGGGATCCAGCAGAGCAGGATGAGGGGGCCTGGAGAAGGCCGCTGAGTTCTCGGGAGACCTTGACGTTCTCCCCCCACCCTTCTCCGCCACGGGATGTTTGAGGGGGCGTGGATGTGGTGTGCCTGATCTTGAGGCGTTTCTGGGCAGTCCTGTGACCCCCCCAGAGCCTCTGGTGCTGGGCTGAAGGCTTGACATCCCTAGTTCATGGAGAGGCTGGAGCCTGGAAAAGAGAAGGCTGGGGCTGGGGGAGCAGAAGAGGACTGCAGACCTCAGGTGTTTGAAGGTCTGTCCTCAGAGGAGGGGCTAGCCTTTTCTGCTTGGCCCAGAGGGCACAACCGGGGTGGGGAAAAGGTACGAAAAGTCCAACTGAGGCTTGGAACAAGTTGGTACCTACCAGGGTGCCCAAGGGGCGGCAGTGATGGGGATCTCCCCACACACACTTTGGAGGTCTATGACGCTGAAGCTCTTGTTCGCATTGGCCCGGGTGGCTGCTGAAGGTTTCTCCTCACCCTCAGTCTGTGACTGGTTTTACTTATGTCTTTGTGAGTGCTGCAGATGAGAAAGCCGGGACAGGCAGGGTCTGTGATGTCTTTGGTCCTGGGAGCTCCCGGGTGAGGAGGCCCCCTCTGCCTGGGTGGCTTGGCCCCTTTTTGGCACCTTACAGGCCTGGGGATTTGGCCCAGGCTGTGACGGGCCACATGAAGGGGTGTGCCCTGGACCCAGGAGTCAGTTCTTGGCTTCAGGGCTGCCCCCCCCCCCATGCTGCCTCTGATGAAAAAGTACGTAATGATCTCTGATAGCTGTATTTAGGCGCACACACACACTAATGTCTGATAACTTGCCTTAATTTTCTCAGAGTACTTTATAGAAGGGATCCCATTTGAGCCTCACAACAATGCTTCAGGAAGGTTTTCCAAGTGTTACTGTCTCTATTTGAGAGGTGAGGAAACTGAGGCTTGGAGGGGTTCTATGATAGGATGTGTCTGAGGTGAGGTTTGAGCCCAGGTCCTCCTGGCCTGGTGCCCTACCCCCGCTGCCTCTCACCACACTAACATATGATACTGAGGTCTCCTGAGTTGCAAGATGCTGGCCACTGGGGAAGTCACGGGTGCAGCGAGGCCATGGGAGGAGGGATGGACTGCGGATGAGTTTCACTTGTTCGTCCTTGATTCTCGAAGAGGACCATGACCTTAGGGGGTGAGGCCATGACACGTGAGTGACTTGGATTTCAGTGAGGCAGGACTGTGCAATGTCACCAGCCTTACGTTCTCAGTGGCCAGATATGGGCCAGGATGCCTGGAAATGGCCCAGGATGCAGTGGGAGACTTTGGCTTTTTAAAGCGGAGGTCTTGAGTGAACCCATCTTAGTTTGACTGAGGCAACACCCATTCGGTGATTCAGGCTAGGTAAAAAAAAGAACAGAAAAACCCAAACCAGCATCTGGGGCTCCAAGCTATTGCTCATAACCCAAGAAAGAGGAGCTTGGAGTCACTGCTGATGACCCTGCTTACTCCTAGGACCAAAAATGGCCAAGAAAATGTCGGGCCTCCAGAGGGATGTTTGCAAGGTGAGCAGGCAGGGGAATGGCCTCCGCTGTGAGACCCTGGTGCATACACAGGTGGGGACTTGGGACAAAGCCCTGGCCCCTGTGTCCCCAAGAGATCCCAAGAATGAGAAGGGAAATGAGGAAGAGGATGGGGGCCTGCATTCATCTCTAGGAGCCAGGGTGGGAAGCTGAGGGGTTCGTTTTGTGGCCTGGAGTCAGTAGGGAGCTATTGGAGATTCTTGAGTAGGAGAGTAACCTGGCTTTGTTGCATTACATGGAGGATGGTTTGGAGGGGGGGATGAGGGGAGGAAGGGATTCAGACGCTGCGCTTGTGCATGTGGCCTTGGGGTGGATGTGAAGGAAGCCGGGGAGAGTGCACCGTCACTGGGTGAAAAGATGAAATTGGCAAGGAGCCACGGGGAGTTTGGCACGTGGTTTAAAAAGCAACAATTGTATGAATCTTGGCTGGAGACATGGCTGCCCTGCAGGGGCAGCTGGAGCTTGGACTCTGGGGCCCTGTGTGGGCCCAGGGCAGGTGTGGATGCGCCTGAAGGTCCTTCCCAGCTCGTAATCACGATCCTAGGTGAAAAATCCTCAGCAGGCTTAAGCTGTCTATAAATAAACTCCACAGGAGTCAGCAACACGATGTGGCTGCTGGAAACACCAATAAGGTCACAGGCGGCATTACTGGATGGGCGGCCCCTCAAGCGAAGCAGGGGAGGGTCTCTGGAGGGCACCACTTACCCATGGGAGCAGCGAGGAAGGGGGTGGGGTAGGGTCGGAGACCAGGTCAGAGGAGGTGAAAGAACCGCCCCGTGTGGTCTGGGGCTGGGGGCGGGTCTGAGCCACCCGGTATTCTCTCATCCAGTAGCACCCCAGAGTGGCAATGACCTCTGGCCTTGAGGGTCATGTCAGAGCAGGGGGGCTCTTCAAGCTAGAGGGACTTCTGAGGGCCTTGTAGCCAGTGTGGCCACAGCAGCTCTGAAGGCCTTCTACCCGGTAGCAGAGAGGCCACAGGACACCTGCCACGCCGTTGGGCTTGTGGGAGAGCCGTGCCAGAGAAACCACGAGGCCATCGCTCCCATTGGCAGATAGGGGCCTGAGGCTCGTACGGGCTGAGTGACTCCACCAAGGTCACAGAGACAGTGGCTTCTCTGACTCAATGTCCTCTGCGTTCTGCCTTGTCTCCTTGGAGAGCCCTGTGGCCATCCGAGCTCCAAGGTTGGGGGCTTCAGCTATGGGTGGAGAAGGCCTGGGGGGGTAGGCGGGGGGGGCAGAGCCACTTATTGGGGAGGAGGGGGTGTTATAAATCTAGAGCTGCCGTATTTCTTTACCAGTGGGTTCTTCTCTCTAAGGAGGTTTTCTCAAGGCTGATGCTTAAGAAAAAAAAAGCTTTTCTCCATCCTGCGAGCATTCCTGGGGCTTCCTGGGAGGAGGGAATCAGAGACCTAGGCCCAATGGGGGCACGTTTTGGGCTTGCTGAACCAAGGGAGCGCTGCCTTGGGGTTTCCCTGTTCCCAGACACGAGCAGGAGCGGCCATGCGTCAGTCCCCAGGGCTGTGGCAATACGCTCCTCTCCTACTTGTGTGTCCTCAGGGTGAAAGTATAGGTAGATTCTGCAGAGGTCCAGCTCAGCTTGCTGCTGAGAGGTCCAGAACAGGAAGCCCTTTTCACCCTTGAGGTCACGGCCAAGTCCCTGATCCCGTGGCCTTGGACAGCACGTCCCGGGACGCTTGGGGCAGACAGAAGGCTGCGCTCGACAGGCCCGTGGTCAGAGCCAAGACCGTGCTCGGCTTCTTTCCTCAACGATGGGAGAGGCAGCACCGCCTAGAGCAGCGCTTCTTCAACTGGGTCCAGACTCCTGTGGGATCGCGAAAAATTTGGCAACAGAAAAGATTTCTGAATGTGCAGCAACCGAAAACTAAGTAAAAATCCAACGCGTAATGCGCCTGAGGTATTTGCCCCCAGGCCGCGCAGTGCCAAGTTTAAGAAGCCCTGGCCTAGAGGACGGGAGTGCTGGATCTAGAGCCAGGATAGCTGGGTTCAAATCCTTCCTCCAACACTTAGGAGATGTGTGACCCTGCGTAAGTCATTTCGCCCTGACTGCCTCAGTTTCCTCATCTGTGTCAATGCTGGGCTTACCCCACCTCCTCACCCTGCCCACGCCGTCAAGTAATTGGGAGGTGAGAGCCCCCTATCACCAGGGTCTCTTTCTTCCTAGGTCCAGGACCTGCAGCTAGAGCGGGAGATGGCGCTCGCCACCAACCGGAGCTTGGCCGAGCAAAACCTCGTCTTCCAGGCGCCCCTGGAGATCAGCCGCTCCAACCTCTTAGACAAGTACCAGGAGCTCCAGAAGCTGGTGGAGAAGTGCCAGGAACAGAAGGCCAAGCTGGGTGAGCTGCCAGCGAGCCCCAGAAATGGCGCCTGGGGACCATTTATGTAGCGCCCTGTGCGTGGCTGGGGCTGGGGATGTGGAGAAGGAAGCAGCCCCCAGGCCCTGGCTGACCTCCAGAGGGCTGTGGGTCCCCAGGATAGTAATAGCCAGTGTTAGCCCTTAGATAAGGGAGCGTTTATTAAGTGCTTTCTGTGTGCCCAGCTCTGTGCTGGGCCCTGGGAATACACATGGTAACATCAGAAGGGGCCTGCCCTCAAGGTGGAGATGACCCAGGTGGGGAAGGTTTCAGCTGCAGGTTGGGCAGAAAGGTCCCAGGGTCCTTAGGAGCAGTGGCCAAGCGGGCAGTCAGGCCTCTTTAATGTCATCACCACTGACCAAATCCCACCAGCTTCTGAGGTTGTGACGAGCACCTCCCCAGGATGACGGCTCTCGACCCTGGCTGTGAGCCTTGCCATCCTAAACCTCTCGGCCTCAGGGTCCTGGTGGCGGAGGCCGAGGTGGGGCGGGGGGTCTGACCCGCCTTGTGGCTCTCCCCATCGCTCTCCCTGCTGTGGCTCAGTGAGTGGCGGTCGGCTGGCCGCTGGGGGGACCGGCCGGCCGAGGGGCCCTCCGGATGGTGGATGGCGATCGATGGCCGTGAGGGCCAGGCTGGAAGCAGGCCCTGGGGGGCCCCCGGGGCCCTCCTGCCTAACTGCCGGTTGGTAGCAGTTGATCCACAGTTGTGCTGGGGTGGCTTGAGGAAGGCAGGTCATCTCTCACCTCAGTGAGGGCAGGGTATGTGGGCGGCAGCAGCCCTGCTGGTCTGGGAGGCTCTGGGGCTCAGGGTGGGCTGTCTTCATTAGGGAGGGTCTGAGGGGAGAGAGATGGTCAAGGTGCTGGTGCCAGGAGGTCTGAGCGGCCTCGCCTGAGGGGCTCTTATAGCTTCATCGAGGCTGAGCTGCCTGCGTGTGTGAGTGTGTGTATGTGTGTATGAATGTGTATGTGTGCACGTGTGCATGTGTATATGCGTGTGCATGTGTGTGTGCATGTGTGTATGCATATGTGCGCGCGCGCGTGCGCGCGTGTGTGTGTGTGTGTGTGTGTGTGTGTGTGTGTGTGTAGCTTAGGACTGTAGAGGGAGGGATTGGCCTTGTCGCTACTGTGGGTTCTGGTGAGAAATCCATGAATGGATGACAAAGCGTTTACTGAACACCTTACTGTGCACAACGGGGGAGCCCAAGGAGAAAAGCCAGGTGAACCCTGCATCCAAGGAGCTTGTGTTCTAATGGGGGAGACCCCAGGCAGAGGAATTTTGGTGGAAATGACATAAGAAAATGCATTGCTGTCTGCCTCGGGCCTTTACATCTCTGAGGCCTGGGCTAGAAGCAGAACTTGGGGCCTGGGGGTCACTCTCTTCCCAGAGATGGTGGAATCTGGGCCCTGGGCTGTCTCCACCATGGTCTGCGGGAAGATGGTGATGGTTTGACTCACCTGGCTGGGAATCAGGAAGACTTGAGTTCAAATCTGGCCTCAGAGACTTATTAGCTGTGTGACCCCAGGCAAGCCACTTTACCTTTGTCTGCCTCAGTTTCCTCATCTGTTTTTACTTTATGGAGATGATGACCATGGCTACCTCCCAGGGTGGTTGTGCGAATGAAGTGAGGTGATCTTTGTAAAGCGTGTAGCATGGTGCTTGGCACCCCATATAAACATTAGCCACCTGACGGGAGTGCCTGTCCCCTTGGGGGCAGCTGGTTAGCGTTTGGGGCTGGCAGAGTTTGCTTGGCTGGATGGCGGTTGTGGGGGCCAGGTTGGAAGCAGGGTGGTGGCTGGGGGGCGCTGCCGGCTTTGGTTGTGGTCGGTGGTAGTAGTGGTGTGGATTGGGGGGGGTCCCTTCTTCCCAGGGGGTCATTGGACTTCATGGTGGAAGCAGGACTGGTGGCCTGGAGCCCCCTGTTCTTCCCCGGATACTCACGGCCCCACCACTGTCAGGGAGATGGGAGCGACAGTTGACTCTGTCAGGAGCGTGGCATCTCCCGGCTGGCGTGTTTGCCCTGGTGCGGTGGAGTCAGGAAGACACAGATTGCCGTCCTTTCTCTGAGACCGTCCAGCTGTAGTGACCGCTCTGGGCCGCAGTTCTTCATCTGTAGAACAAGAATGACAATAATGGATGTTGGGAAGCATCCTCAGGCAGGCAGGCAGGCAGACAGCCAGCAGGCATTTATTAAGTGTGTACTGCGTCCCAGGCACCAGGCTCAGTGCTGGAGCTTAGAGACCAGCAAAGGGAAAGAGTCCCTGCCCTCAAGGAGCTTCCATTCCAGTGGGGGAGATTAGGGAGCCGCTGCGGGTGCAGGAGAGGAGGCGTCCCCGGGTGATATTTGTCCAGGGCCAACTGTGCTGGACGGAAATCTGCAGTCCCACATGGGTTGTCTCCTCCATGGGGATGTAAGCCCCTGGCCGGGGCAGGCTTCTCTTCTGTTCGTACCCCTTAGCCCCATGCTCCGTACGTTGTAAATTCTTCATAAAGGCTTCAAAGGTGTTATCGATAGGAGGATTGTTTCTCCTCTTTTTCCAGAGAAGTTCTCTGCAGTGCTGCAGCCAGGAACCTTGCTGGACCTTCTGCGGATCGAGGGCATGAAAATCGAAGAGGAATCGGAGGTAGGGGAGGCTCTCTTCCTGGCAGGAAGGAGTTGGCCACTGCCCCTGCTGCCTTCTGGGGCTTTTACAGGGGACTTGTGCCCACCTGGCCTGGGGCAGGGACGCGTGGGACGGCCTTGAACCCTTGGTCACCTCCTTCCTCCTTGGACGTCACTGTTGCCAAGGCAGTGACCTTCGGAGGAAGGTCCCTCTGCTCTGCCCTGGAGACGTGCTGGTTTTGGAGGGGAGGGCAGCCTTGAGAATGGGACTCGTCTGCCATGGTGACCTCCACTGTTTGCCTTCCAGGCCATGGCTGAGAAGTTCCTCGAGGGGGAGGTGCCCTTGGATACGTTTCTTGAGAACTTTGCCTCCATGAGGATGCTGTCCCATTTGCGCCGAGTTCGAGTGGAAAAGCTGCAGGAGTTGGTACGGAAGCCCAGGGTTTCCAAAGAGCCAGCCAGGCCCACGCTCCCACCTCAGCCAGCTATTGAGACGACCACTGCTGTGGCAGATGCCGTGCCTGCCGTCCCGCCTCGCCTGCCCCTCCTTCGGCAGGCCCCGCCTATCCACTCCCCTACAGCCCGTCTCCTAACTTACCGGTTGGTCCCACAGCCCAAGGAGCTCTACAGCCATCTCCTTTCCCTGTCACCTCCCAACCCTCCTTCCCTTACCATGTGCCTTCTGGCCCTGGCTATCCACCAGCCCAGCCTGGAGGGGCGGGCACAGGGCGCCCCTGGTCCCCACACTCATCTTCTGGACCGGGATATCCTCTGTCTCAATCTGGGAGCTCATCTTCTGGACCAATGTATCCCATGGCCCGAGGCCCAGCCCCTAGTCCAGGCTACCCTCAGCAGTCTTATTTCCCAGCAGGAGGAAGACCCCCATACCCAACTCAGGTGCCTCCCTACCCGACCCAGGCCCAGATGCCGAATTTTCCAAGGCAGCCCAGACCCTCAGGTCCTCATCAACCCCCCTACCCCACAGGCCCTGCTCTTCCCTATGGGTTTTCCACACCCCAGGGACCCGCCTGGCCTGGGTATTAGACACGATCCTCACACATTGCCTCCCCTCACTTCCACCTCGTGCCACAGACGTTGGTTCTGCCATGCTGCCTCCTAAAATTTGGGTTAAAGAGCTGTTGGCCCTGCCCATGGACTTTGGAAGGAGGCTTGACCCATGCAGGTGTGTGATAAACCAGGGATGGTGTGGCTATGATGGCATGCAGGATGTTTTCAGAACCATGGCCTGGCTTCCACGTCTGGGTCTGTAGTCAGCAGTGACCCATGGCATGAAGTCCCACTGCACCGACAGCCTTCTGGTCTACCAGCCAGTCAGGTGCTAGCCAAAGAAGGGAGGCAGATGTGGAAGCTGTTTGTGTACACACAGGCATTGAAATCAAACACAAAGAGTGTCCTCTGCTCCGCCCCCAGTGCTTCTCTGTTAACACCCTCCGGGGGACTGGCGGTTGCAGACATGTTTACGCTGGCCAAGAGATGGGAAGTAGCAGCCTTCAGATAAGCTGTCCATCACAGCCGGCTGTCTTCTCTAAGAGAGCATGTCCTGGGCTTCCCCACAAGCCTCGGTTATATGCAGGGCACTTAGTAATATTTCCCAGATCTTTTACTTAGATAACATATGCTAAAACACTAATAGGCTAAAGCCAGATAAGCTTACACCATTTTAATGGCCGGAGGCTGTGTGGGAGGCTGAGTGTCTGGGCAGTGGGGCCCACACCCCTTAAGACCTAGAACTAGATAGAAGGTGGGGTGGGCACCTGGCCCTCTGGCAGAGGCTGGGGTGCAGCTGCAGCAGAGTTAGGGGGCTCGTGTGGAGGACGTCCTGGGAATGTGCAGCCACTTTCCCTCTCCCGGGGCAGCTCTGTTGCCAGCAAGTTCCTTCTGAGCCCCAACTCTGCCCTTCAGTGCCTTTGATTTTGGCAGTCTCTTTCCCCTTCACGCCCTTTCCTTCTCCCTGTTTCTCTTAGCAAAGCTATTCTCTTGGAGAGAAGTTCTGAAAGTCACCCCCAAATGGTGTTTTCCAAATACTAATATGTCTTATTTATCTCTCCCTGCATCTTCCTTTTGTCCTTAGGACATAAACTCAAGGACAAGGCTCTCCCTTGTTTGTGGTATTGGCAGCATCTGTTAGATTTTGGGTGCCCGATGCCTGTTAAGTAATAAGGGTGGTAAGAACAGATCCAGAAGGGTTTGGTGGACAGAACATTAATTTGGTTCTTTCTGAAATCAGTTTAGTCACTCGGTCATCCTCTGGAGCTGCTATTGATCTGGAAGTTGAACGTACCTTGGACTGTCCAAGTCTGAATTGCTAAACATCTGACAGAACTTGAATGATGGGGGTGCTCTGTCAGTTTCGATTTCTGGTGCCCCAAATGAAGGGTTGGTAATGCCAGATTAAGTTTTCTTAATATATTGCCAAATTCTGCTTGCTTTCCCATAAATTATTTATAAAAAGAAATTACTAATGAGCTCAGTTGTGTTGAATTTTTGCTTGTGAATTAGCCGGATGATGTCCGTCATCTATGATTAATCACTACAATAAAACCAGAAGCGGTCCGTGCTGTGTCCTGGCTATGGTGGATTTGTAGAGTGAAGACCCGTCTGTTTGGAAGGTGCAATCGATCTTGGGTAGCCTTGCTCGGTGGAAACACTTCCCTTCATCTCTATCAATAAAGCCCTGTCCTCGTCCATCCATCTCCTGCCCTCAGATCTCTGGCCAGCTCCCTGGGGCCTCATTGATGCAGCACTCACTTCCCTTAATCGCCCAGACTTTGGCTTCCTTTCTCTGCCATGAGCATCTCCCCCGTGCTTTTCTGCTGGGCAAGCTCTCCCAGCCCTGGCTGGCTTCAGCTCGCCATTTTGTAAGGACTGAGCCCCCGTCTAACCCAGCACAGCCCCCCTGTGAGTACTGTCCAACCTCCTCTGTGGAGCTGCTGACCGTGGAGAATTCTGGCCCTGCCATCGACAGGGGTGGCACAAGAATGTGGCCTGCGTGTGCCGCCCATGCGCCCAGGAAACACCAGTCGGCATTCAAACCCGGGGGTCAGAGCTGTCAGCGTGTTAGGTGTGTGGGTGTGGGGGTGGTGTGTGTGGGATTCTGACCAGTGGGACTGAGGAGCAGAGCCATTCCCTGGTGAGCTCACCAGCTTCCCCCGTTGTTCTAGGGTCGCTGCCCCTGTGGGGTGAGCACAAAGTTTTCTGAGAGCTGTTCTCCTTACTGGGAGTCAGGAGAAGGGCAGCTTGAGTAGAGCTTGAGGTCAGAAGAGGCAAAGGTTTGAATTCCCCCTTATTACTAACAAGCTGTGTGAGCCTTGGCAAATCGCTTCCCTTTTCTGAACCTCAGTTTTCTGATCTGTAGATGGGGCTAGCAACAGCACCTCCCTCTCGGGGTTTCTGTGAGGATCTAATGGAACTTTAAAGGGCTCTGCCTGCTGCTGCTAAGGTCAAAGGCTGCAGAAATGTAAGGGACCCCAAATGTCATCAAGTCACTCCTCCCCCACCTTGTACATAGGGAAATAGAGGGTCAGAGAGAAGGCCCTGCCCTTGCAGTGAATTACGGGCTGGATTTGAACTCTTCGTTGACTCCCAAGGCGTTGGCTGATCCCAGGATGTCACTGGCCCAGTGACAAGTGGTCAGTGAGTGATACTCTGAGAGATGGATGAAGAGACAGACACGTATGCTATTTCTCAATGACCGTCTAGTCACGGGAGCATCCCAAGAGTCCCCTGCCAGTGGTAACTGAGGGTGGATGCTGACCCCTTGATCAAGACCAGAGGTAAAGCAGATTTCCACATGCCTCCCTGCAAACGCACCATCCGTCTAGGCTCATTAGGATGAGAAGCGCAGCTAAAGGCCGGCGGACTTGGCTCCATGTTATAATGAGCTTCTATGGGACATTTCCTGGCTCCTCATGGTGTGCAGACATACAATTGGCCAGACCCCTGGGAGACGGAGCACAGGCCTGCTTTGGAAGAGGCGAGTCCTAATGTCCCCTTGGGAAGCAGCATTAGGTGGGCTTTGTGTTGGTACCAAAGTGGGCCGTTTTTATAAAATATTTACGTACTAACTTGTAAGGAAAGGATTTTATGTGCACACTTGTTAGAGGAGTATAAGCTCACTACTGTTTTCCCTCCATAGACATTCGCACAGTCCCCACCCCGTCACTCACATACACAGCTCCGACACCCACTCACTCCTGGAGATGTCTTGGGCACGCCCTACCATGTAAGGGCTCTTGCTACATAGCTGAGCTAGTCATGGCATAGTCAGCCGACCCTGGAGAATGAAAGAGATATCTAACTTAGTGAAGAGCTTGGCCGTCTGGGGTGAGGGACTCTAGCCAATGCCGACACCATCTCGGCTCCATTTTCAGCTGTGCAGTCACATAGGCCTCGAGTAATGGGGATTTACCATCTCCTTCCAGGAGGGGCTAACTGGGACCAGAGCTATGTCAAGATAGTCGGTCTCAGTCTTAAGTCCACGTCTCCCAGCCTCGTTTTTGCCACCCATAGGATAAGGAGGTTGGGAGAAAGAAGCCCTAAGGGGCTTCTGAGCTCGGGCGGGACGTCCCTTTTGTGTGTGTGGCGTCATCCTGCTTCCTGAGCGTGGGGGAGCTCCTTTCTGTGGCTCGCTTTTACTGTGAGTTATTTTATTAATGAGACGTTTATTGAGTAGTGATGTCACTTGGAACTTCATAAAAGCTATGCACCTTTTACTGGTCTGGAGGCTGGAAAAATAACCCAGTGGTGGGAGAGCTCCGTGCCTGAGGCTCTACTTTTCTGATAATTTAGACTTTTAATAATAATTAAGGTTTGGTTGGCAATTCACTGAGAATGTGAGGGCTGGAGATGCCGGCTAATGGACTAGATGAGTTTTCTTTGCATGGAAAAGATCCAAGAATGTCCATACGCACTTGGGCAAAAATGGGCCCAGGAAGGGCTTGAGGAGGCCGGCCTTCTGCCAATCAGACAAGCTCCAGGGCCTCGAGACTGAGTGTAGGAACATGAAGGGAATTTGAGGGATGGAATCGAGGCCTAAAGAGCAGACCAGTCGGTCCAGGTGAGGCATTTCAGCCTTAGGCTGCTGACCTACGCTCTAGTGACCCACGAGCAAGGCCCTAATTTTGTGCCAGTAGGTTGGGTTCCCAAACCAGGGCCAGTGCTTCGTAACCATTGTTGGAAGCAAGATCGCAGCTTACCTCGGCTGAGTGTCTGTCACATGCCTGGCCCTGTGTGGGCGCTCATCCTGTGTGAGGCTGACGGTGCCACCCACTGCCATGAGATCTCATGAGAGGAGGGAGCAGTTAGCTCATGGGCCTGGGGGAGGACCAAATGACCTCTGGGGCGAATGTCCAGGGCTAGTTTCTGGCCCTCTCTGTCTCACTCTGTCTCTCAGACACAGACACACACCCACACCCACATGCACACATACACACGTCTGAGTGTACACACACACACACACACACACACACACGGCAAACATGCCTGGTTTTCTTTGTGCTCACATTTGCATCCCTTCTTGTCTCGGGATCTCTGAAATGAAATCTCAGGGAATGTTCAGACTTCTCAGGTTGTATAAAAAGCATTATTTACACAAAACATTAAAAAAACCCCAACATTCTCATCCAAAGATACCAGTGTGAATTCTTCCCTGTTCTTCATCAGAGGAAGGGTCTGGAGCTGGGGGCGGCGAGCAGGGAAGGCAGCCCCTTTCCAGTGACACTGGCCTTGGGGCACAGGTGGGTCAGGAGACAGCTGTGGGCCCTTGGGTACGGGATGTGGCTCTGGGAGCCCCTGGCCCTGTGTGTCTGGAGGGGGCTGTGCATACTTTGGGCTTGGCCCTTTCCTGCATTCTCTAGACAGGGTCCTGCATTTCACATAAATGAAAAGGTTGGGAAAGGCTGCTAGAGTTGTGGGGAGGGGAGGGTTTCCCTGGGTTGGGTTTGGGGGTGGGGAATGGGTAGGGAGGGAGCTGTTCCTGCGGGCAATGACGACGTGGTAGTGGCGACCTTGCTTCTGCCCCTTCACAGTTGGAAGTAAAATCAGGAAATCACGCCAAGGTGATGAGTGCAGAAGGTTCTCAGGAAGATGCGTCTCGTGCCGGGAGACACTCGGCTTATTCACAGTTCAGCCTGAGCGAGAAGAAAACAAGGCATAAAACAGGAAAAGCCACCTCATTTTCTGGAACTGGAGAGTCCAGGCGTGAACTGGAAGCAAGATCAAGTCTATGACAACCAACCCAAGGGGAATGATGGAGCCTCTGGTTGGGGGCAATCCCTCGGCTTCCGAAGCTATCTCCTTCAGCCACCTTAGGACCCCATAGTCTCAGGGCTGGAAGGCTCCCCTGGGGGCATCTAGACCACACCGTCTCTGAGGCACAAATTTCCTCTATTTGCATAGTTCTTCGGTAGGGGGGAGGGGTGCCGCCATCTTGGAGCCGTGACTTGGGAGACAGAGGACCCGTGTCTGAATCCTGGTTTTGCTACTTCCGACTTGTGTGACAGTGGACAAGTCACATCAGCTCTCTAGCTCTCAGTTTCCTCTTCTGTAAAACGAGGGGATTAGGACACAGGGATGAAACAATTAAGTTTCACACCAAGTCCAAGATGGAGGAGGCATCAGATAATGGTTTGTCTGAAACAAAGTCTGGGCCTATCTTTAGCAGAGTACAAGCCCTATGGGAATCACTAGTATGAGAGAAGGGATGGGATGAGGATGGTGAGAGTCCCACTGTACTCTGCCCTGCTCCAACCAGGTCTGGAGGGTTCCATTTAGCTCCGGAGCCACATTGTAGGAGGTACCTTAATGAGCTGGAGAACGTATAAGCTCAGGGGGTCAGGATGGTAAAGGGCCATAAGCCCACGCCATAGGAGACTTGTTGGAGCAATGAGGGAGGGGAAGTCTGGAGAAGAGGAGACCTAGGGGCTGGGACACGATGTCAAAGGGGCCCTACGCTTGTTCTGCACAGCTCTAGAGGGCAAGAACGAGGAGTAGGGAGCGAGCGCCACTAGGTGGCACAGTGGACAGGAGCTGAATTTGGAGTCAGGAAGACCTGAGTTCAAATCCAGCTCAGCCCCTGACTAGCAGCGACACGGGCATTGCCCTGTCTGAGAGGGTTGGAGCCGATGGCCCTCGGGCACCTTCCAGTTCTGAATCTGTCATCCTGAGTGGCAAAGAGGCGAGATCAGCTTCTAGCACTGAGAAGTGCCCGGCAGCAAAATGGGCAGGTGTGTGATTCTTGGATGACCCTTGTCAGGTGGATGAGGGGGTCTAGGCTGCTGAGGTGCCCTCTCCCTCTCAGATTCTGTGGCCTCTGAGGGCCTTTGTGGCTTTCCACCTCGATGATCAATGCAGAGCTGGGAGACCCCTTTGAGGCCATCAGCTGTCACCGTTCTATTGGGCGGAGGAGGAGCAGAGGCTCGAGAGAGGAAGGGAGGGGGCCCGGGTCCCACAGGTAGTCAGTGGGAGAGCTGGGATTTGCACCGAGGGCCTCCCTCGAATGCATTTACAGTCAGCCAGAGCCTCAGGGCACTTGTAAGCCACTAAGATGCCCTGAGACCTTGGGAACACCCTCTGTCCCCTACTGTGGCTAATCAGTGCCCCTTTGGGTCTGGTCATTCAGTATAGAAGAAATGCTGTATCTGGAACCTGATCTACCCCCTGCTGCCTGTGACCATGGCCAAGTTACCTCTCCTTCTGAGCCTCTGTTTCCTCATCTGTGAAATGGGACAGCTGGACCTTTAAGGTCCCATTGCTTCCCAGCCTTGTGAGCCTACGGTCCGGTCCACATGTCTCTGCTCTGGAGGAGAGGGGAGACGGGAGCAGAAGAGGAGAGTCGAGATACAATTTCCAGAAATGGAGTCATGAAAAAAAGCAGACTTTTCAAAATAATTGGGTAGAAATTGGAACATTGCTCAGATTAGGAGACTGAGGCCAGGAGGAGGGAAACGCCTGGGCTGGGGTCATGTGCACAGAAGAGGCAGACTGTGAGCCCCGGCCCCCTGGCTCTGATAAAGCCATCCCAGGGGCTGCGCCTTGGGGTGCTAAGGGCAGTAACTGCCCACTTGGGTCCAGCATTCCTCGGTCACCATCTGTTAAACTCTCGCTGCAATGGCCCTCAGAGGCGGGGGCATTTCAAAGTGGAAAGAACCTAGCATGAGGAACTTTGGGGGCCCATTCACAGCTAGGGGTTCCCAGGGCCTGCTATGGCCTCTAGCTAGGATGGCAATGGCCACAACAACTCTCTCCTATAGCTCTTTGTTCTCAGCAGCTTGCTTCTCAAAGGCAGCGCCGGGTTGTGGCTCGACCCAACGAGACCTGCGTTAAAACCCCATCTCTGATACTGACATTCGGGACCTTCCCCCTTGAGAGTCAAGATGGGGTAGAAAAAGCACTGGATGGAGAAAGGATACCTGGGTTCGAGTGCCAGCTCTGTGTGACCCTGGGCAAGTCACTGCACCTCTGAGTCTCAGTGTCCTCATCTATAAAATGGGGGTAACAATGGACCTTCACCCCACAGGCGTGTAGTGAGGCTCGACGAAGATGCCCATAAAAGGCTCTGAAGACCTGAAAACCTTGTTAAAGCAAAGAAACCCCACCAGGTAGCCATCTCTGCGTGGAGCCAGGCTGGTGCTCAGACCAGCTGCTGATATTGGGGGCTTTGCAAACGCTAAAGTGGTGTAGACTCATCAGTCATCATTATTATCACCTCCAACATCTGCCCCTCGGACACATGAGCCACAGGATATAGATCACAGAGAGTTGGAGGGGACCTCAGAAGCTGTCCAGTCCAACCCTGTCATTTTACAGGTGAGGAAACTGAGGCCCGGGGAGGTGACGTGACCTCCCTGCGGTCTCCCAGTGGTAAGTGCCAGAAGCAGGATCGGAATCCAGGGCCTCTGAGTCCCCAGCCCAGTTCTTTCCCACATTGGCATGATTCATCATCAGTGAAACCACTTTATGGGGGCCATACCATGGGAGCCCTCCGGGAGCTGTGGCTCCTCATTGCCTTAGTCCCAGCTAAAATCCCACCTTTTAGGAGAAGCCCTTCGCAGGCCCCCTTCCTGCTCATGCCTTCCCCCAGTGTATCCTGGGTGGTTCTGGTCCACACACAGCTGGCATCATACTGCCTCTCTCATCACCAGGGAGCAGAGCCTACTCCCTAGTGGGTAGTGTGGTTCCTGGCCCCCAGCAGGTGCTTAATAAATGCTGGTGGACTTGTCACCCTGTGTCTGCCATGATGCCAGGCTCTCTGGCTGGCAGGAAAGCAAAGCTGGGGCCCTCAGCCCTCTGGGAAACCGGCTGGAGCCAGACTCACCCGTCACAGCCTCTGGGCCCCGTGCAGATCGTAATCGCTGTCAGAGGAGTTGTCTGGCGGGTTGGAAGACCGGTTCAGTGCCCCTTCCAGAGCTGGAGACAGAAAAGAGAGGCTGCTTCTCAGGGATTGGCTTGTGGGGGACCCCAGGCCACGCTCTTGTCAGCCCGTAGCCCAGAGCAGTTGGGAGAGGTGGCCATGTCTGTCCACCTGGTTGTTGTGTGCAGTTTTCAGTCATGTGCGACTCCTCATGACCCCTTTTGGGGTTTTCTTGGCAGAGATATTGGAGAGGTTTGCCGTTTCCTTCTCCAGTTCATTTTACAGATGAGGAAACTGAGGCAAGCAGGGTTGAGTGACTTGCCCAGGGTCACACAGCTAGTAAGTGTCTGAGGCCAGATTTGAACCAGAGAAAATGAATCTTCCTGACTTCAGGCCCAGCACTCTGCACTGTGGCGCCACCTAGCCGCCAATCTTCTAACAGGTGTGGACAAAAATCCTTTCTTTAACTCAAGACTGTTTTAGTAAAAGGAGGCTTGAATTCAGGAGATCTGCATTCAACTCCTGGCTTTGCCACTTATGACCCTTACGACTCTGGGCAAGACATTTCTATCTTGGGGTCTCAGTTTCCTCATCTCGAAAATGGGGAGAATAATTTGTACGCTACCCACCTCACAGAGCTATGCATAGGGAAGTACTTTGTTAATTTTAAAGGACCTTTTCTTAGAAAGAGGAGTCTTTTGTCTTCTTTGGCAAGAACAGAGTAAAGTGCTATGCGGTTTTGTTTTGTTTTTTTACTTACCACATAATTCTTATTTCCAGATTGCCTCCCAAATCCATCACAATTTTGGGAGTGTGAGGTGAAGAGAGAAGGAGGGAGAGAGCTAAACATTGTTTCCCAGATATCTGCCCAAACATCTAGAAATGGGCAGTGGTGGGGCATAAAGAGGCTCTGGTGATGAGAAAAGATGAGGGCTGGAGGGGAGAAGCAAGTGGTGTTGTGGGCTTCCTATGAGTCCCCATTGTTCAATCCTGGCTCTAATGCACCCCCCCCCCAAGCATGAAATAGTCTATTTGCCAGGATTTTTGTGAATATTTTTGTTACTCTATAGTTTTCCTTCTCTGCTTTATCCTTCCTTGGTTTAGGTGTTAGAGTTTATATTTGCTTCATAAAAGGAGTTTAGTAGAGTGCTTTCTTTCTCCATTTTTTGAGAATAATTTGTACCTATACCCATTTATACTCAGTTTAAACTCCAGTCCGACATAACAACCATTCATTACGTGCCTCTTACATGCAAGGAATTATTTTAGGAGCTGGAGGTGAAAAGATAAAAATTTTAAAAATAGTCCATTTCCCCAAGAAGATTACCTTATAGGAGAGGAGGGGGCAGCTAAATACCCACGTGCTAATTTGAGGAGGAGGGAGAGAACACTGAAGACGAAGGGGATCAGGTGAAGCATTGGAACTGTGAGTTGAAGAAGTTGGGGACTCTAAGAGGAGGAGGGCCGGCCTTGCAGGACTTACCTCACTGGTATATCAGAGATCTAAGAATTAGCCCCTGCAGAGCAGTTGAAGAATGTTCAACAGCACTGTTGAGAGCTGGAGGCCTCTGATACAGTGGAAAGTCCAGTGGTCTGAGTTCAAATCTGCCACTTATTCCCTGCCTAAGTCACTTAACCCCACCCCCACCCTGCCTCAATATCCTTCTCTGTAAGATGCAGGTGGCCTCTAACAGCACTTCCAGCTCTCACTCGTTGGTGAGTCTCACTGGTGTGTGGACCTGTGGTGGCCACGTCCTCAGGATGTTCTGATGTCAACAGAGGAGTGTGATCTGAAGATGCTCAGCCATGCTCCTGCCCCCGGGGTTTGTGTGGCTGGCTAAGTAAAGGACCAGTCTGTCGGTCACTCCCGCAGCCCCTAAGTAGGACGTCCCCTCCTGGTCCAGAGGACTCGAGGCGCCTTCCTAAGTGTCTGGAATGGGGCACAAGAGACGAGGCCAGAGCACCGCCATGCACTCAGGGCCAGCCCGGGGTCACAGGAGCAGCTGGTCCCTGCTGCCTGGTCCTGGTAATGCTTCAGTTAATGGCCTCAGGACGCATTACTGCATGTGAGTGGGGTTGTCTCTCTGGGGGCTGCTCAGGCCTCTGTCCCCCCTGGGGGCTCCTCAATGTTTGTGGCTGCCGCCTGCTTCCATGCCCCACCTCCCCCAAACATTCTCCTTTGTGCTGGAGGGGCTCGGAAACCACGTCAAGGGACGGTGTGTCCAACCGTGGCTGGTCAGAGCTCAGACGGCTGTGCCACAGGTTGGGCACAAACACTCCACCGAATGTTCTCCAGAACTGTGCGGCGTCAGTGTGGGTGCGGGGGAGGTGGAGGGAGGAGGTGATATATGTGCCCCCTCCTCGGCCCCCCCACCCCGGCCTTCTTTGTTAGAGTCAGGTATGGGTTGGAATGTGGGTAAAGACCTGAGTTCCATTCCTGCCCCTAAAACTGGCTAGTTCTATCACCCTGAGCAAACCTCTTTCCATTTCCCTTTCCTCATCTGTAAAATGAGGGGCTGACACTAGACAGATACTGTCCAAGTTCCTGGCCTGTTCTAGATCCGGAATCCTAGGAGACCTGTTTTATTCACTGAAATGCATTTTTTAACAAACCCCAAGTAAATGAGCATTTACATGTGCAAAGTGCAGAAAAAAAGAAGAACCGTACATGAACTGGGATTCTGTCTTCCATACAGACTAATTTTTTTTTGAGGTGATATTAAATTCTTTTCTTGCTAAGTAAAGCTGGGAATCTATTAGAAATCCCTTGCTTTTCTTTTAAAGTACATAATAGATTCAACATGCTATTTTCCAAACTGTCCTGCATGTCTGATTCCCACTGATCTTTAAGCTGTTCTTTCCATTAAAAAAAAGTTTTCCTTTTTAAAAAAAAAAATTGGTAATCCCATCACGAGCCCTTCTGTCCCCCTCCCCGAAACTGAAAGGAAAACAAAACCCTTCTATCAGACACACAAAATAAAACCAATCCCTATATTGGTGAAAGTCCAAGAGACCACATCCAGACCCTGGACAGACTCCTTCCCCTGCCCCTCTGAGCCTCAGTTTCTGTATTTGCAAGCTGAGGGCATTAACACCTGCAGTCACTCATCTCACCAGGGTTGTTGAAAGGCGGACTCGAGGACACCCGTCGAGGTTTCAAACCCTGTGGTCATGCTTAAGGCAACGTCTTGCCCTGGGCAGTGCAGTTGGGGATTTCTAGCAGGGACGATTCCATCCCTGGCCAGTCCTATTCCTAGGAACTCGGAATCCTGCTCTCCCTTACCTGGATAAGCCGAGAGGCGGGAATGCCTGGGAGGCTGACTGTATTCGTTCTCCACATTTGAGGCTCCAGGGTTCTCGACTTGGGACCGGATGGTCACGGTGTGGTTGCGATGGAAGGACACTGCATGAGCACAGAAAGGAGAAGTCAAGGCCTCTACTTCCGCCTCCCAGAGAGCCCTTCTTGGGCTCCCGCAGGGCACTCCCCACCCTTCATGTCTGTACTACTCAGGGATTTAGAAAAAGCCTAATTCCTACACCGACTTTGGATGGACGGCCGTTCAGCTGAGGGGAGCAAAGCAGTCGGGAAGCCAGGACCCCGGTCAGGAGGCGGGTTCTTAGAAAGCACATAGTAGGTCCCTAAAGACTTTCACCAGCGGGGCGGCTGGGACCATTTCTAGATCCGGAGCTGACCTCAGTCTCCACTGCCTGATGCTGGGGTATGCTGGAGGCCTGGAGCCGAAGCCACAGCAGAGGAGAGATAAGGGGCAGTGGGTGCTGACTCCTTGGTCTCTGAGGCCTCAAGAACTACAGGTCACTGAACCACGCGTCTAGCCAGGAAGCCTCCAAAGCCCGTTTCTCGGAGGGTGAGAAAGCCTCTGCAGAATATAGCGCGGCAGCCAGCGGAGGGATGCGGTAGCTAGCTGCTTGGAGCAGCCCTCTTAACTCCTCCTCTGTGGGAAGCCCGTTCCAGGCTGCTGGATCCTTTCAGTGCAGGGGCAGACAAGCAGGGGGAGCCGCCCCCAAAGGGTCCCCGTACCGTTCTGGTTCACTCCCGTTGGACCGATCCACTGGCGCTGCTTCTTCTGACGGACTGAGCAACAGAGAGAAATAGATGGTTAGGGGCTGGCAGCCAGGCTGGAGTCCAGGAGGCCTGGCTTCTGCTCCTGGCCTTGCCGGGGGATTCTCCCTGTGCCTCTTGGTTGCACAGAAGAGGAAGATCAGCGTGATCGTGCCTTGTTCTCTGGGACAGAAAAAAAAAAAAGGCTGGATCTGGAGTCTGAAGGGCTTTGTTCAAATGCTGACTCTGTGACCTTGGCCAAGTCACTTCCCCTGTGTGCCTCAGTGTACCCGTGTGTAAAATGAGGGGCTGGACTGTCTGATCTCCGAGGTCCCTTCCAACTCTAACATGGGTCCCATACTTCCATTTATAAGTGGCATCTCTGGGAGTCAGGAGTGGATGGGACTCCTTCCCCTGCTGCCGCCCCTCCCTGGGCTAGGGTACCCCTCCCCTGCCTCGTGGCCTCGGGCTCTTCTATCTGCACCTCCTCCTCCTCAGCATGTGATGTCAGACCCACACACGTGCCCACCCAAGAAAGAGCCCCCTAATTGTTGGGCCTCCCAGCAGAGCCCGTGCAACCCCCCATGCACCTGGAGCCATTGTCCCCTCCTGTACTCAGTGAAAGACAGCAGCCCCCTCCTACCTCCAGGGCCAAACAAACAGAAAACCCTCTGCTCGGCATCTAAAGCCCTTCACAGCCTTTAATCTACAGGTCAGGCCAGGCTGGCCTTCCTGCTGCTCCTTGCCTGAGAGGTGCCTTCTCCCTCCTCCACGCCTTTTCCCTAGCTGTGCCCGTGCCTAGAGTGCCATCCCTGCCTTGACTTCCTTGAGTCTCAAACCTCACCTTCCCCAGAAGGCCACCCTGCGCTCCCCCCTCCCAGTGCCTTCTCTCTGGGATGGCCTCTGCTGTAGAGACAGTGTGTCCTGGGTGATTGGCAGGTGGCATTAGGCCAGGAGCCCCTTAAGGGCAGGCACTGGTTTGTCCACTTTCTTTGGGGCCCTAGTGCCTAGCAAAGTGCCTGGCACATAATAGGTGCCAAATAAATGCTTCTCGACTAACTGACTGACTGACTAGGCTAGGAGCTCCTTTCAGGGTCTGGATGCTGGGCCTATAGAGAGCATGGGAGGCTTTTCATAGAAGCCCAGCGCCTGACAGGGACTCGCGATCAAGTGCATTCCCATCTTCTTACAGAGAAGGAAACTGAGGCCCAAAGAGAAGTGGCTTGCTGGAAGGGACCCCATCCACTGGACAGATGAGAAAAGTGAAAGCTGGAAAAGGGGTCATGATTTACTCAAGATCTGTCTCTCTCTGTCTCACTGTTTCTGTCTCCGTTTCTTGTCTGTTTCAGTCTCTCCTTCATCTCTCTCTCTCCCTGTTTTTCTTTCTCTCTTCCTGTTTTTCTCTCATTCTCTCTGTCTCTCTCTCTCTCTGTGTCTCTCTGTTTCTCTCTGTCTCATTGTTTCTGTCTCTGTTTCAGGCTCAGTCTGTCTTTCTGTCTTAGCTTCAGTCTGTCTCTCCTTCATCTCTATCTCTCTCTCCCTGTTTTTCTTTCTCTCTTCCTGTTTTTCTCTCATTCTCTCTCTCTGTTTCTCTCTGTCTCACTGTTTCTGTCTCTGTTTCTTGTCTGTTTCAGTCTCAGTCTCTGTCTTTCTGTCTTAGCTTCAGTCTGCCTCTCCATCTCTCTCTCTCCCTGTTTTTATTTCTCTCTTCCTGTTTTTCTCTCATTCTCTCTCTCACACACATACACACACACGTGTGCACACACACACTCACACACACACACACACACACACACACACACACCACATACACACATAGAACTTGTTATTCACTGGAGCCCAGAGCAAAGAGCGGAAGAAGGACAGAGGCAGGAGAATGGGAGAAGAGGGAGATTGTTCCAGAGAGGCAGGAGGAGGAAGCTGTGTGGAATTAGGGAATGCACTACTTACATTTCTTCTCTAGTTTCTTGTAGGCTACAGGCCCACATGTCACCAGAACGATTGCCATGAGGATGAAGGTCAGAATGATGCTCATCACAGTCCCTGCCCCAGGCCCACCTGCATTTGGGTCCTGGCCTGAGAAAAGACAATGGTGTTGTGTTGAATCTTGATTAAGTAGAGTTCTAACTAGGGCAGGGCAAATGGGTCTTTGTCCCAGGGAGCTGAAATTTAAAGGATATTCTACATTCGCACTCCTCTGCTAGACAGAAACAACTGAGTTTAGGACTTGGCATGAATAATTTGTTAAAAGAGAAAAAACAGAAAGCTACCGTATAGAAATATTTCCTCCTCTTTGCAAGCTATGCCTCAAGTGTTCTCTACCCAGCTCCCTCTCGGTGGGGGGGGGGGGGCTATCTCAGCCGTCACCATCCATGGGAACTGATATCTTGTGGGGGGGGTCATGTCTCTCTCGCCATGGAAGGTGTCCTGGGATCTCCTCTCAGGAGCTCCTGTGTCCTGAGGTCTGAGGTCCCCACCTTGAGGTCTCATCTTTCACTGCCACTGTTTGTCCCTGGAGAAATTTGTCCAGGTACCAAATTACTAATGTCCGTGCTCCTGAGACATCAGCAGTAGAACAGCATGTCATCAAATCCAGTGGCTTCTCATTCCCTCCCACTGGTTGGGGGATCCCAAGAGAATCTGCTGGAGTTTCTGACACCCCATAACTCCCAAGTACAATGAAAAGGGTATCTAACACATCTACATCAACTCAACATGAACAGGCTAGTATTTATTACGTGCTAAGTGTTTGCCTTTTCTCATGTATCTACTCCCCATCTTTTGTGGGAGATTTTAATCTATTTGCCTACCAATCACGAGTCAATGTTTTATACTTGTAAAGAGTATTTGTAGATGTGTTTATGTAAGTCCTGAGTATGTCTCAGCTGGTTAACACCCAAATATTTTCACAGATTTTGTAGTTATGCTGAATGCAATTTCTCCTCCTATCTTCATCTTATTTTTTCTTTTTATTAAAATAAAGGCTTATAACTTCTGTAAATTCATGATTTTATTCTGCTACTATACTAAAACTATTGTTTCAATTAATTTTCTATTAAATCTTTGGGGTTCTCTAACTCACCCATTGTAACATCTGCAAATGGAGAGCCAATTTATTCTCTTCTTTGTCTGTAGTTATTCCCCTAATTCTTTTTTGTTTTATTGATGCAGCAAGCATTTCTAACACTATATCAAATGATGGTGCTGATAATGGACATCCTTGGTTTACCCCTGATTTTATTGGAAAAACTTTTATTCTTGTTCATTGCCAATGACACTGGTTCTTGCTTTTAGGTACTTTTGATCCCAGTAAGGAAAGATCCTTTTATTCTTGTGCTTTTTAGTATTGTTGGTTTTTTTTTAAGTATAAATGGATAGTGCATTTTGTTGAAGACTTTTGCTGGTTCCATTGATATCATTATATAATTTTTTTTTCATTTTGACATTAATCTTTCTGTCCATCAAATTCTTATCTATTATCTATTCATGGACTCTGCTGCCTTACCTTCCATATGATCTGCCCTTAAGGTACCAATCGCTTTAGCTCAATGCCCTTTGAGAAGTGGGATTGTCTCATTTGGTTTTTGTCTGTGTCCCTAGAGCCTAGCACAGAGCCTGGCACACAAGATGCACTTAATCCATGCTGACTTCCTTGTTGGCCACTGGTTGCCTCCATCTCCCTGTCTTGAAAAGCTGTCCCCTCCCCCTTTCCCCAAGAGAAAGCCCAGACAAGCACGACCCTCAGGGAATGGTTGGTTCCCCAGCTTACACTCGATCATTGTGCCTTTGCAGGCCGGGTCTCCTTCATCAAATGTGTAGCAATGGGAGAGGTTCCCATGAGGGCAGTAGAGCTTGCTGGATGGGGCAGATGATGATTTTTGAGATACTTCCTCGGAGATTAGGCTCCCACAGTGCTGCTCCTCGCACACCTCTTCCCAGTTCTTTTTTTTTCCACACAAGACTTTCCACTGACCCTCAAAGTACACCTCTACGATGCCCTTGCAGGGATTGTTTCCGCCCTTCAGTCTGCTTTTCACCTTTGGCTGGAAATCTGAAATGAGGAGAGTTGGGGAGGAGAGAAAGTGAAGGAAGAATCATGGCTGGCTGTCTTCTGGCAAAGAGTAATCGGGAGCCCCAGTCCTGTGCCGTCCAGCCCTGCCCCCATCCTGCCACACCCTAGTTCTTCAGCTCAGTTTGCTCATCCCATGTCAAGAAGATGGTAGCTTCACAAAGATGAAGTCCCCCCCCCCAATGGTGAGGTCTATCTGTCTGATTGGCTCCCTTCCACAGGTCTACAGCCTCTGAAGTACCTTCTACCTCTATCATTCTCTCTCTCTTTCTCTCTCTCTCTCTCAATCAGGGTTAAATGACTTGCCCAAGTTCACACAGCTAATAAGTGTCTGAGGCTGGATTTGAACTCAGGTCCTCCTGACTCTAGGGCCAGTGCCCCAGGATTCCTTCTCAATTAGCATGTCCACCCTTCAGTCCTCCTCCACCCTAGTATCTTTTCCTGTTTGTCCTCCACTCCAGCATCTCCACCAATAGGGGTAGTGTACTACAGAGGAGAGATTACTGGCTTTGGAGTCAGTGGGACTGAGGACACACACTTACTACCTCTGTGGCCACACACTTACTACCTCTGTGGCCACCATCTGTCTCGGCCTTGGTTTCCCTTCCTACATTGGAAGGGAATTTTTTCTTTCTTTCTTTCTTTCTTTCTTTCTTTCTTTCTTTCTTTCTTTCTTTCTTTCTTTCTTTCTTTCTTTCTTTCTTTCTTTCTTTCTTTATTGAGGTTAAGTGACTTGCCCAGGTTCACACAGCTATTAAATGACAAGTATTTGGTCTGAGGCCTGATTTGAACTCAGGTCCTCCTGACTTCAGGGCCAGTGTTCTATCCACTGCACCACCTAGCTGCCCTGACAGTGTACGTGTTATACTTGTATTAAAAGGACCAACAGCTCACACCTTGTCTACCAAGATAAATTCTAAATGGGGACTTGATGTAGATATGAAGGGTCAAATGTAAACTGATTAGAGAAACATGGGGAAAAAAAAAACTACCTCTCAGATCTATGGGTAAGAGAAAATTCCAGGACCAAACAAGGAATAGAGAGGGTCATAGGAGATAAAATGGAGAAATTTGATTCTATAAAATTAAAAAGTTTTTGTGCAAATAATCTAAGATTAAAAGGGAGACAATTAACAGGGAAAATATCTGAAGCAATTTTCTCTGATAATGGTATAATTTCTAAAATATATAAGGAATTGATATGAATTTATAAGAAAAAGAGTTATTTTCCAATTGATAAATGGATATGAACAGGCAGTTCATATGAACAAAGAAGATATCTAAGCTATATATAGCCATATGAAAAAATTCTCCACTACTAATTAGAGAAATGCAGATTAAAGCAATTCTGAGATTCCAACTTGTGCCCATCTGAATGGTAAACATGACCAAAAAAGGAAAATAAGAAGTGATGGAGGGACTGTGGCAAAACAGGCACATTGGTACATTGTTGGTGGACCTATGAATGGGTATGACCATTCTGGAAGACAACGTGGAATTACACACAAAAAGATATTGAACAGTGCCTGCCCTTTGATCCAGCTATACCACTGTTAGGCCTGTATCCAAGAGAAAACAAAGAAAGAGGAAAAAGTCCTTTATGATAAATGTATGTAAGTATAGCAGAGTGTGTGTGTGTGTGTGTGTGTGTGTGTGTGTGTGTGAGTGTGAGAGAGAGAGAGAGAGAAATGGCAAAAATATTGAAAACTAAGAGGATGCCCATTAACTGAGCAATGGCTGAAGAAATTGAATAAATCTGAATGTGAGGAAGTATAATTGTGGTGTGTGAGAAAGGAGAAAATGGATGATTTCAAAGAGACGAGAAAAGACTGCTATGAACTGATGCAGAGTGAAGTGAGAAAAACCTAGACAATTTATAACATCAATACTATAAAAATGAATGATTTTGAGGACCTTTAAAAACTGATGAATACTGAAATGAGCAGAACTAGGAGAAATAGATATCTAATGACAAAACATCGTAAAGGCAAACAACTTTGAAAGCTGTGAGAACTCTGATCAACATAACACCCATCCATGATTCCAGAGGACCAGTGATGAAGCATGCCATCATTACATAGAGGTGAGGGATTTGGGGTGTAGAATGAGACATATATATTTTTGTGTATAGACACTAAGGGAATTTGTTTCGCTTGACTGTGCACATTTGGTTTTTCTTAATTTGAATTTTTATTTTCAATTCCAAATTCTCTCTGTCCCTTCTATTTGTATCACTATATCTCTTTATTCCCTCCCCCACCTATTCAGAAGGCAAGAAATATTATACTCATTATATATAAGAATTTGACTATGCATATTTGTTACAAGAAATTTGTTTTTTTTCCTTTTCTTTTTTATGGAATAGGGAGTGGGAGAGATTAAAAAAAAAAACAATTAAAATAGAGAGGTGGGGGTGCCACAGATGTGAAATGTTACATTCATTTTCAGATGAGGTCACTGTATTATTAGTTTTACTTTGTTATAAGAGACCTCTCAGGAAGTGAGAAGAATCTATAAGTGTTTATAATGTAAAGACAAAATACATCAATAAAACAGAAAGTGTAAACACAGAAGATGAAGGGATTGGATTTAGTGACTTCTGAGGTTCCTTCCAGCTTTCACTCTGTGTCCTTATGAGCCGAAACATCAGAGACTGATTTTGAACCTAGGTCCTCAGACTTGCCATGCGACTCTCCTTCCACAAGCCCATGCAGTCTGGAGTCATGAAGCATCGAACCGAGTTTGGCACCGCTCTGGCCAAAGTGTCCTACCCTGGGCCCCCGGGGCCCCAGTTTGCCCTCTTGCCTCTGGCCTTTCATCCGTGCTGTTTGCCACTTGGAATGTCCTCCCTCCCACCGCCTGTTTAGCTTTTAACCCAACTCAATCATCCCCTGCCCCAAGCCTTTCCTGATCTTGAGGGCTTTCCCCCCCTTGGATTTCATGTAGCATTTGGTTTGCGCCTTTTGAACACTGTGCGATATTGTGATAATTCTCTGGCTTGTTTTCCTAGCTCCTTTGCTAGGCTGTGGGCTCCTATACTTCCTTTTGCACTGGGCTCTGCATACAGCAGGTGCTTGATGGTGATTGGATGAATGGAAGAACTTTAGAGTCAGAAGGAACCTCAGAGACCATCCAAGGCCAATGCGTTCACTTCTCGAAGAGGAAACTGACGCGGGCAGGGGCCACTTACCAGAACAGACAATGGAAATGGTTCGGTTTCCCGGACAGCTCTTCTGTTTGGTGAAAACCTGGTCCACGGGGACTCCCTGAGCATCCTCAACTGCCCAGAGGATCGGCAAAGGTTTGAGCCCCTTGGGATTCCCTGGGTCTGTCTTCTCTGCTGGTGGATACAGATGGCTCAGGAACGTGCCGCAGTTCAGGGCTTGGCAAATCTCATCGCCCAGGGCTTTGGTCCAGGTCTTCTCTTCATAACAGATGCTCCCCCCAACACTGCCCCTGTAGAACTCAACCACTCCTGCGCATCGGAGTTTCTCTTTCCCCTCCACCAGCAGGAACCTCGGAGGGCCTGGGAGGAAGATGAGGGAGGAAACCAAACACGGGAAAAGGAGAGATGAAGAACCAGAGGAAGGGGTAGACATGTCCTTTCTCAGGCTGAGACAGGACAGAGAGATTGGAGAGTCCATCTCCCAGGTGGGGCAGCCAAGGCTGGGAGATGGAATTTAGTGGCAGGTTCCCGGCTGGGGTTCTCAAACATTTAACCAAGGCTTGGGCTATGAGGACCTAATGAGGAACTGATGGAACCTCCCATCCTTCACTGATGCTGGTCATTCTGTATTGCCTCTGTTTATCCGCCTTCTCTCCTCTACCACTGGTCATCACTGATCTCCACTCTGTCTGTGCCCTCCACTATTCTAAGGTACTTTCTGGCTGTCCTGTCAGTGTGGAGCTGCGTGGTATTGGAGATGTCCTTTCAGTAGGCTAGAAACAACCAAGCTTAGCCACTCCTTGACAAGCACAGTTCCTCAAAATAGGAAGATGGGAAACTGGGGTGAGCTTACCACCCTCCGTTCCCCATAACACACTGGGAAGTCTTTAGGCAACATCTGGGGGTCTTTGCTTCCTTCTCTTTCTCCTCCCTTATGACGCATAGTTCTTGCCCCAGGTTCATCCGTTCCTAGTTACGGTTCTGATGTGCCTCACGGGGGTGAAGGTGCCCCATGCCCTGATTCTCTAGAAGAACAGAAGCGCAAAGGTCCCCAGAGTGTGGTCCCTCCACCAGTGTTGAAGGACGACCAAAACAAGCCTCTCCCTGTTCTTGCTCACAACAGCAAAGGTGGAAGTGGGTGGTGCCCAGGATGGATGAGTCATGGGACCTTAGAGGGGGGAGACCTTAGAGGCTGCCTAGTCCAAACTGCTCATTTCACAAATGAGGAAGCTGAGGTCCTGAGAAGGTAAGGGACTTGTCAAAGGTCACAGCCATTGGATGGCAGACATGGGATTCATGCCTTGTTCTTCCTGCCTTTTCAGCTGCCCATCAGAGGATGCAAGCTCCCTCTGTCCCATCCAGAATTCAAACACAACCTTTCCAGTCTAAGGCACTGTACATCCATTCCCCATTTGAGCTTGACAAGAGCCCTGTAATTATCTGGTTCCATGTGTTCCATGAACAACAGGGGAAACAGAGGCTCAGGGGCTGCAGGCTCTTGCCCAAAGTCATGAAGTTGAATTCAGGGGCATTGCCAGGACTCCAACCCAGACTGGCTAACTCTCAAATCCAGTGCCCACATATGCTTTCTTTCTTTTCTTTTCTTTTCTTTTCTTTTCTTTTCTTTTCTTTTCTTTTCTTTTCTTTTCTTTTCTTTCTTTTCTTTCTTTTCTTTTCTTTTCTTTCTTTTCTTTCTTTTCTTTTCTTTTTCTTTCTTTTTTCTTTCTTTTTTCTTTCTTTCTTCTTTCTTTCTTTCTTTCTTTCTTTCTTTCTTTCTTTCTCTCTCTCTCTCTCTCTTCTCTCTCTCTCTCTTCTTTCTTTCTTTCTTTCTCTCTTTCTCTCTCTTTCTCTCTGTCTCTCTCCTTTTCTCTGTTTCTGTCTCTGTCTCTGTCTCTGTCTCTCTGTCTCTGTCTGTCTGTCTGTCTGTCTGTCTCTCATTTTTTGGCGAGGCAGTTGGGGCTAAGTAACTTCCCCAGGCTCACACAGCTAGTACTTGTCAAGTGCTTGAGGCTGGATTTGAACTCAGGTCCTCCTGACTCTATCCAGTGCACCACCTAGCTGCTGCCCCGTCCCCTCGCCCCCCACACACATATGCTTTCAGTGAGAGGCCAGTGAAGCTGCCTGGAATGGGAATAGGAACATTGCTGCCCCATGGTCTGGGAGAAGACTAGGAGGGGCCACCCATTAGAAATGAATCCTCTGAGTGGCAGGGTTGGAATTCTCATTCTGCCCTGGGGCCCTGGCTGGCCTGACAGAGGACTGGCGAGCTCTTACCAGTGGGCTTGGGTGAGGTCACAGTGGGCTGGGGGGTGGGCAGAGGCGCTTTGGTAGCTGCTTCTGAAAGGAGAGGAAATCTTAGATGAGTAACATGATGAAGCGGGACCTTGGCCCCAGGCCCGGCAGGCACAGAGACTCAGACAGCAGGGAGGGCCATAGAGATTGTGTGCGGACAGGTAGAGCCTCCGAAGGGCTGGGTTCCTCTGCTGTATGCACATTCACTCACAGCCCTTCACTCCGTTGTCAGAGTTGCTAAAGATGATGGACAAATAGGTCCTTTCTCCTCCCTCCCCACTGCAGATGCTCCTTGCGCGAAGATGCTTCCCATGGCACTGAGACTGGATTTCACGTGAGGAGGAGTGCCCCATCCTCAGAAGCCCTTCCCTGGCCCTGGCCCTTGAGAGCCCCCTCAGGGAAGCAGAAGCTTCTGACAGGTCCCACTAGGCTGGGACAACTTCTAGGCAAACTGTAATTTATTATATATCCCCCCTTCCTTACACTATATGAATCTAGACAAACTGCCCTTTTGCTGGGTCTCCACACATCCTTCTCATGGTTTTCCCCTTTGGGCCTAATCCTTCTCTACAACATGACTAATGTGGAAGTATGTTTAATGTGATTGTACATGTATGGCCTGTATCAGATTGCACACTGTCTTGGGGAGGGGGAAGGGGAAACAGCAGAAAATTTAGAACTCAAAATCTTATGGAAGTGAATGTTGAAAACTAAAAATAAACAAATGAACAAACACATACATAAAAGTCAGAAATGACAGAAAATGATGCCAAAACAAATGAAAAGTCGGAATCAGGACTTGGGCTCAGGTCTTCCAACCTGCTGCCTTGGATCCAAATGTCCTGGGGTGGTGGCAGCCCAGAGTGGTCTGCAGGGATCTGTCTATGTCAGGCTCCCTGCTGGTGTGCCTCCATTTCCCACAGGACTTCCAGCACAGGCTCAGAGTGGGCTAGGTTCTAGGGGGATTCCTCTTTCCTACAGGCTGGCTGAGGTGACCACTTTCACATTTGGGAGGCCATGGTTCTCTCCCCAGGGAAAGGGCTCAGGAGGCACCCCGACCCACATCTCGAGGACTCACCTTGGCAGATCACGTGCAGCTTTAGAGAGGAGGTGTTTGTGTGCTTGTGGAGGACGACAAGATTGTGGAAAGAGCAGGCCAGCTCTGTGGCTGCCCCGGAGGGGTCGGAGATGCGGCCAGCCTGGAAGCCCAGCTTGCTGGACAGCTCAGTCAGAGCCTGCCCTGACCGGTTCTCCAGGCACAAAGTGCTCTTTGTATTATTGATCTTGACGTCCAGCTGTACCTGACACAGGGGGCTGGAGCCAGTGAACTCCCTGTGGGACCCTAGGGAAGAGCAGAAGAGGATGGAAGGTCAGACCTGGAGAATCGCTGGGCTCTGCAGCCCCCCAGTTCTGGCTCCTGAAGGTGAGAGGGCTAGCAAAGATACCCTCCAAGGTTCCTTCCGCCCCTAAATCTGTGCTTTATGGGAACCTGGGCTGGCTGCTTCCTTTCTCTGGGTCTCAGATCCCTTCTTACGCTAAATCCTAAGAGATTTTAAATAATAGACAAATATGTCTCCTTAGAACGGGCCAAGAGCCCTGTGAAGTGGGAGGGACAAATGTTCTCACCCCATCCTACAAGTGAGGAGCCCGAGAGACCCAGGGATGGGAAGACTCATGTCCAATCTCACACAGCTGGGAAATGCCAGAGCCAGGTCTTCCCACTAGGAGCACCATGGGATTTTAGAGTTGGACATCCTCTGGTCCAGGACCCTCATTTTACAGATGGGGAAACTGAGGCCCAGATGGGGCATCCCTCTGGTCAGAACACCAGGGTTTTTCCAATACACTGCATAGAAACATCTCATGGGGAAAAAAAAGATTATGTCCCCTCCCCCATGCAGTACGAACGTGTGAGTGCAGTTATGAGACCTCTGTATGATAAATACTCTAGTATTTATGTTGTTGTGTGTGCGTGTGTGTGCATGCACAGTGCGAACGTGGGCACAAACCTGAGCTTCTGCATATCTCAAAGGCATGGCTGTAGATGCGTGGGTGACATTGGACAGTTTTGGCACAGTGGGGGGATGTGGCTCTAACAGACCACTCCCAAATTTCCTTCCAAGACTGTATATTTCTCGAGACTACAAATCCCCGTGCTACTCACCTGAGGGGATCTGCTGTGGTCCTCCATGACAGGAAGACACTGCAGAGAAAAGACCGGAGTCAGAGAGTGAGGAAAGAGGCAGAAACAACCAGCAAAAAACCCGCTTCCAACATTTCCTGGTACTCAGGGTGTCCCAGAGTAGAATGAGCTGCTTCAGGAGGTAGTGAGTTCCCTGTCGCTGACTATCTCCAAGTGGAGTGTGGGTGATTTTGGAGGGGGGAATCATCTGATCCAGGCCCCTCATGCCATTACAGATGGACAAACTGGGACTCAGCAAGGGACGGAACTTTGTACTGAAGTATTGGAAGAGGGTCTGGGATTCCATTACAGAGGACCTCGGGTGAGGTACTTCTGAGGAGAATGTAAGCCCTTTGAGGGCAGAGATGGTTCCACTTTTGTCTTTGTAGCTCTAGCACCTAGAACAGTGCCTGGCACACAGTAAGTGCTTAATAAACCTTTATTTGTAGGACCTCAGCTCTAGAGCTGGAAGAGACTTCAGAAGTCCTCACATCCCATCCCTCATTCTAATGGCCAATGATGGAATTGGCTAGATGGTATGAGAGCCTAGCCAGCCCAGGCCCCAGGCCTTCAGTCCAAAGGACGCCTGACCCACAGGGGCCTCTTCCTTTTTTTTTTTTCAGTCTTATTTTTTTTTATTAATTTATTTTGATTTATCAACAATCACTTCCATATGCTTTTGAGTTGAAAATTTTTCTCCCCCTTCCTCCCCCCCACCCTCCCCAAGACGGTGCACAATCTGATATAGGCTTTACATTTACATACCCATTAAACATATTTTCACATTAGTGAAGTTGTAAGTAAAAATTAAAACCAATAGGAGGAACCATCAGAAAGATGAAACAAAACTCAACAGAAGGTAAAATTAAGTGATAGTGATTCGACTTCCATAGTTCTTTCTTTGGATGTGGACAGCATTTTCCATCCCGAGGACTCACAGGGGCCTCTTCCTCCGAACATTCCCTTCCTAGTCCCTGGATCCAGGCAAATCATGGCCATCTGTATCTTCCAACTAAAGCTTGATTCCAGAGCCTTTGGGGGGAGAGCTGTAACCCATCCATAAGAGTCAGGGGAATGCTCACTCTGACGGGCAGAGTTGGTCTTACAAGTACATGGTGAGGGGGTGTATGTGTGTGTGTGTGTGTGTGTGAGACACACACACACACACACAGAGACACACACATAGAGAGACAGAGAGACAGAGACAGAGACAAGAGAGGGAAAGAGGGAAAGAGAGAAAGAGAAAAAAGAAAGGAAAAGAGAGAGAAAGAGGAAGAGAGGAAAAGAGGGAGAAAGAGGGAGAGAGAGACAGAGAGAATGTGAAGGCCCTGGCTTGCTGCCCCCAATCACTTTCCTTACCACCTGAAATTCTGCCATTAGAGATTCATTTCTTTTGGATTCACTTTTTTCTACCTCCAGTAGCTCCCAGCTGTCCCCTTAGCGACAGGGATTGCTGTCACACCAGATCGCTATCTGGACTGAATACTATCACCCAGAATACCTCGTGGTACAAGTGGACAGAGCATTGGTTCTCAAATCAAAGGACCTGGGCTCAGATTCCCTCCTTTAACATGACCTTTGTGACCTTGAGCAAGTCACTTAACTTCCCACTCTAGATTCCTGCCTCCTGTCCTCCATGCCCGGAATGTACTCCCTCTCTCTCTCCTTCCTCCTCCCCTCTGTAGTTGCTTTTAAAACTCAGCTTCAGCTCATAAAGTCTTTCCTCATCCTCCTCCACCCCCACACATGTTTTGGTTTTTTTTTCCCTCCCAATTACCTGTGGCCTCAGTTTAACTTCGACTTTAACTCTGCTGGGCCTCAGTTTCCTCATCTATAAAATGATGACCTTTGACATCCATTCCCCCTCTGGCTCTAAGATAGAAGGAGGGGACCTTTCCTCTTGACTCTGGCCCATAGAAACCTGAGTCCCTGGACTTCCCACACTGGAAGTACCCTCTGCCCTTCTGGGCCTCTCTTCCAATTGGCTGGTTCCTCCCAGAACCTCCATTTTGAGAAGGATGCCCTGGCCGACCATGACTTCATGCCTCTCCAGGCTGTAGCCCTCACTCTCCCAGATTCTCTCTACATGTCATGGCGGGGCCCACAGAGGCAGCCACTGAGACACTACTGGGGCCCAGCAGGTGGACAAGCCGGTGCTGCAGGTAACTGTGGGGGGCCCAGGCAGGCCTCCTGGCACCTCGAGCCTCGCTTTCTCTGGGCCTGGTACTAGCCCCTGCCTGTCAGGTGGGAGGTGGAGTCAGGGTACAAACGCCAAGGCTCCTCTGCCAAGCTCTTTGCAGACTTGGAAGCGCCCCAGAATGTGCACCCCACCCCCAGGATTGTAAAGCCTGTGCTTCCTTCCCCATGTCAGAGTCAGAGTTCAGCCCCAAGGGCTCTTTCTCCTGCACTCCCTATATATTCTCTGTGTACCTAATTACTTACAGGATATCAAAACAAAATAGAGAATAGAATGTTTTAAGGTTTGCAAAATGTTTTTTTTTTCTCACAATAAACCCATGAGATACTATAAATACTCTTAGAAAGAAAGATTCCAGAGTACCCCACTAGCCTGGAACCCAGATCTTCTGGACTGAACTCTAAGGTTCTTTCTGCTATGCCAAGCCACCCCTGCTAATTTTGTGGATGTTCAGCTGTGCCTGACTCTTTGTGACCCCGTGGACCATACTGTCCGTGGGGTTTTCTTGGCGAGGTGATGGAGTGGTTTGCCATTTCCTTCTCCATGCCTCCATTAATTAGTCAAAAGGCAATCATCAAAGACATTGTGCAGGCCTTGTACTGATCATTAGAATCAAACTGATACCTGGGAAAGACCTTAGCTCTCAAAAAGGCCAAAGCCTCCCACTGCATCCTGGGCCATCTCTGGTCCTTCTGACCTATATCTTGCCACTGGACCCAGATGGCTCAGGAGGTGAACGTGAGGTTGGTGACTTTGCACAGCCCTGCCTCACTTAAATCCAATTCCCCTGCGAGTCTTGGCATCACCTTCCTGATTTCATGGTCCTCTTCTAGAACAAAGGACAAATAACAAGCATTCCCAGCCCTTAGCCCGTAGTAAATGTTTAATAAATGCTTGTTCACTTGACTTGACTTTTGACCTTGCTGGACCCACTGAGAGGTGGTCTCTCTCTGCTTCTTCTCATCTGTGTGACCTTGGAAAAGTCATTTCTTTGAGCCTCAGTTTTCTTCCCTGTAGACCAGTAGTATTATGATTATAAGAACCTCAGAACCAGTTCAAACTCTTCCTTTTGTTGCAAATTAATTAAAGCCAGCATTGGAGAGTGACTTTACAAGATTAATCCATCAACCAGCAAACATTTATTAAGTGCCACTATATGCCAGGCCCAGATCTCCAGGCCCCTAAGAATACAAAGACAGATTGGGGAGATGTAGTTAGAGTTCAAAGGGTCATTCCTTCTAACCTCCTCATTGTATTCATGGATAATCCAAGGCCCAGAGAGGCTGACTTGCCCAAGGTCACACAGAGCCAGGATTTCAACCCAGGTCTTCTAAGGTCAAATCCAGTGCTTTCACCCTCATTCCCTACTGATAATGCCTGCCGACCTGTCTTTAATTTTTTGTCAACTTTCAAAATTCTCAGACCTGGAAGGAACCTTATGACCCAGGTTGTACCTTTGCCTTGACAACATCCCTACTCAGAGGTCATCCGGAAGACCTCCCACGAGGGGGAGCTTGCTACCTCCCAGGGATGTTAGCATAATGCCCCACACATAGTAGGCACTCAATCAAAATTGATTGATGGTTGTTGTGAGGGAAGTGCTTTGTAAAATTCAAAGCTGGAGAAACTGGAGCTATGATGGCTTAGCGGCTGGGTGGCCTCAACAAGTCATGTCTTCTATCCAGGTCTCAGTTTCACATATAAAATGATGGGTTGGGACTTAGTGATCTCTGACATCCCATCCATCTCAAAATCCAATGCCAGGCATCCTGTGACCCGATGGTCCTCCAAGCCCCAGCCTGTGGCAAAGGTGGCCCTGATGATAGCCTCTGCCCAGCTCTGGGTATAAGAAGTATAAGACTTTCAAATCAGGAAGGCTCTAACCAGTGGCCAGAGCAGAAATGGGACCCTCCCCAGCTCTGGCTCCTGACTGATGCCCATCCTGGCTATATATCAACCCAATCTGGGGGCACTTCTTGGCAGTGACTTCTAACCTTAGGCCCCTTTTAAGAGCTCTGGGCTGATTAGAAGGAAACAACATTGGTGAAAAATTTTTATAGACAGTTTCTCAGGTAAAGGTCTCATATCTCAAACTCAACTTTGTCAACTCTATAAGAATATGAATCATTCCCCAGTTGATAAATGGTCATGGGATATGAATAGACAGTTTTTGGATGAAGAAATCACAGCTACATATAGTCATACAAAAATGCTCTAAATCATTACTGATTAGAAAAATGCATATTAAAACAACTTTGAGGTATCATCTCCCACATATCAGTTTGGCTAAAATGATAGACTATTGGAGGACGTGGAAAACTCAGGACACTAATTCACTGTTGGTGGGACTGTGTGAAATGATCTAACTATTTTGGAGAGCAATATGGAATGATGTCCAAAGAGGTCTAAGATTTTCTATGACCTTTAACCCAGCAATACCACTATTAGGTCTGTTTGCCAAGGTGATCAGGGGAAAATGAAAAGAACCTATGTGCTCTAAACTAATTATAACATCTCTCTTTGCAGTGGCAAAGAACTGGAATTCAGGGGATGCCCATCCATTGGGGCATGGCTGAGTAAGCTGTAGTACAGGATTGTGATGGAACACTACTGCGCTTTAAGAAATGATGAACTGGTTGATTTTAGAAAAACGTGGAAAGACTTGCATGAAATAATGTAGAACCAAGAGAACGTTGTATATGGTAACAACAATATTGTTGGGAAGAATAACTCTGAACAACAAAGTAATTGTGAGTATTATACGTACTTAAATCAACTACAAAGGACCTATGAAGGAAAATGCTAACCATCTCCAGGGAAAGAA